GGTGACACTGAGGTGACACAGAGGTGACAAGGTGCCATTCCCGTCCCCAGGAGCCATGTCCTGATGGTGTGGGTTATCACCCCAGGGTCTCCATGGTGACACTGAGGTGACACTGAGGTGACACTGAGGTGACACAGAGGTGACAAGGTGCCATTCCCGTCCCCAGGAGCCATGTCCTGGCGGCGCTGAGCCTCGCCGGACCCCTCACCCCGCCATGGGGAGCATCTACAAGGAATACTTCAACCGCGACAAGATCCGCGAGCACTACAACTTCACCAAGGGCGACACCGAGAGCGCCCTGGCGCCCTCGCGCTGGGTGGGCTCCGTCCTCATCGTCCTCCTCTGCTGCTTCATCGTCCTGGAGAACCTCCTGGTGCTGGTGTCCATCTGCCGCAACAAACGCCTCCACCTGGCCATGTACATCTTCATCGGCAACCTGGCCGCCTCGGACCTGCTGGCCGGAGCCGCCTTCATGGTCAACACCCTCCTGTCGGGCAGCACCACCTTCCGCCTGACGCCGGTGCAGTGGTTCGTCAGGGAGGGCACGGCGTTCGCCACGCTGGCCGCCTCGGTCTTCAGCCTGCTGGCCATCGCCATCGAGCGCCACGTGGCCATCACCAAGGTGAAGGTGTACAGCAGCGATAAGAATTGCCGCATGGTGTTGCTCATCGGCGCCTGTTGGTTGATCGCCGGCGCCATCGGGAGTTTGCCCATCATGGGGTGGAATTGTATCAGCGATTTGGGGGATTGCTCCACGGTGCTGCCGCTCTACTCCAAGCGTTACGTGCTCTTCGTCACCACCATCTTCACCCTCATCCTGCTGGCCATCGTGGGGCTCTACACGCGCATTTACTGCGTGGTGCGCTCCAGCCACGCCGAGATCGCCTCGGCGCAGACTCTGGCGCTGCTCAAGACCGTCACCATCGTGCTGGGGGCCTTCATCGTCTGCTGGTCGCCCGCCTTCATCATCCTCCTGATGGACGCCTCGTGTCCGGTGCGCTCGTGCCGCGTTTTGTACAGCGCCAATTATTTCTTCGCCTTCGCCACGCTCAACTCGGCGGCCAACCCGGTGATTTACATGCTGAGGAGCAAGGAGATGCGCGGCGAGTTCCTGCGCGTGCTGTGCTGCTGCGGCCGCGGCCGGCGGCGATCCAGGCCCCCCGGCCGGGCGGGGGTCCCGTTACGCACGTCCAGCTCGCTGGACAAAGGCGCGGCCGGAGCCGCGGCCGAGCTGCCCACGGCGCCGTTGACCAGAGAGTGCACCACGTGTGTGTGAGGGGGGGTGGGGTGGGGGGTCTGAGGTCGTGGGTCACCCCGGGGATACCTCGACGTCACCCCGTGGACACCTCGTGGCCCCAAGGCCACCCTGTGGACACCCCCAAGTCCATGGGTCACTCTGGGGATACCTCAGGGTCACCCCATGGACACCTCGTGGCTCCATGGCCACCCTGTGGACACCCCCAAGTCTGTGGGTCACCCCGGGGATACCTTGAGGTCACCTCAAGCCACCTCAAGGCCACCCCATAGCCCCAAGGCCACCCTGTGGACATCCCCAAGTCCATGGGTCACCCTGGGGATACCTCAAGGTCACCCTGTGGGCACCTCAAGGCCACCCCATGGCCCCAAGGCCACCCTGTGGACATCCCCAAGTCCATGGGTCACTCTGGGGATACCTCAAGGTCACCCCATGGACACCCCATGGCCCCAAGGCCACCCTGTGGACACCTCAAAGTCTGTGGGTCACCCCATGGACACCCCAAGTCCGTGGGTCACTCTGGGGATACCTCCAGGTCACCCTGGGAACACTCCAAGGCCACCCCGTGGACTCATGGACACCCCAAGGCCACCCCATGGCCACCCTGTGGACACTCCATGGCCACCTCATGGCCCGGTGGTCATCCTGTGGACACCCCACTGCCTCGTGGACACCCCAAGACAACCCTGGGGGACACCCCACGGCCACCCCACAGCCCCAGGGCCACCCTGAGGACGCTCTAAGGCCAGCCTGGGGACACTCCATGGTCATCCCGGGGACACCCCACAGCCCCAGGGCCACCCTGGGGACACTCTAAAGTCACCCCATGGCCTCGTGGACACCCTGAGGCCACCCTGGGGGACACCCCAAGGCCACCCCATGGCCTTAAGGCCATCCTGGGGACACTCCAAGGTCATCCTGCGGACACTCCATGGCCACCCCATCACCCCAGGGACACCCCGGGGACACTCCAGGGACACCCCATGGCCCCAAGGCCACCCTGAGGACACTCTAAGGTCACCCCATGGCCTCGTGGACACCCTGAGGCCACCCTGGGGACACTCTAAGGTCACCCCATGGCCTCGTGGCCACCCTGGGGACACTCCAAGGTCAGCCTGGGGACACTCCATGGTCACCCCGGGGACACCCCATGGCCCCAAGGCCACCCTGAGGACACTCTAAGGTCACCCCATGGCCTTGTGGACACCCTGAGGCCACCCTGGGGGACACCCCAAGGCCACCCCATGGCCTTAAGGCCATCCTGGGGACACTCCAAGGTCATCCTGGGGACACTCCACGGCCACCCCACAGCCCCAGGGCCACCCTGGGGACACTCTAAGGTCACCCCATGGCCTCGTGGACACCCTGAGGCCACCCTGGGGACACCCCAAGGCCACCCCATGGCCTCGTGGCCACCCTGGGGACACTCCAAGGTCAGCCTGGGGACACTCCACGGCCACCCCACAGCCCCAGGGCCACCCTGGGGACACTCTAAGGTCACCCCATGGCCTCGTGGACACCCTGAGGCCACCCTGGGGACACTCTAAGGTCACCCCATGGCCTCGTGGCCACCCTGGGGACACTCCAAGGTCAGCCTGGGGACACTCCATGGTCACCCCGGGGACACCCCATGGCCCCAAGGCCACCCTGAGGACACTCTAAGGTCACCCCATGGCCTTGTGGACACCCTGAGGCCACCCTGGGGGACACCCCAAGGCCACCCCATGGCCTTAAGGCCATCCTGGGGACAGTCCAAGGTCATCCTGGGGACACTCCAAGGCCACCCCATGGCCTCAGGGCCACCCTGGGGACACTCCAAGGTCAGCCTGGGGACACTCCATGGTCACCCCACAGCCCCAGGGCCACCCTGGGGACACTCCAAGGTCAGCCTGGGGACACTCCATGGTCACCCCACAGCCCCAGGGCCACCCTGGGGACACTCTAAGGTCACCCCATGGCCTCGTGGCCACCCTGGGGACACTCTAAGGCCACCTGGGGTCCCCCCACGGCCACCCCACGGTACGAGCTCCCCGCGGTTCTCCCGGTACGGACGGACACCCACCCCCTGTCCCCCCGCTGTCCCCGGGGTGTCCCCGCTGTCCCCTCCCGGTCCCCTCCGTGTGCCGGGACACGCGCGGGGCCCTTCCCACGCCCTTCCCGAGCCCCGGGGCCACCGGCGGGACCTGTCTGGCGAGTCCCGGGAGCCCCTCCCGGGCCCGTGGGCGGCTCCCAGCGGCAATTCCGGGCCGCCCTTCTCCCGGGATCAACCGCGACACCCCCAAAAATCCCAAAGCATCCCCAGGAACCCCCAAACCCGGGCTTTTCCCACGCGGGGTGTGGGGCGGGGGGAGCGTCCCGGAGCGGCCGGATCCGCCGGGATCCTCCCCGAAATTCCCGGGATTTGCCCCGAAATCCATCCCCCGCCCCACTCCCCTTCCTCAACCTTGTATTAAACGGTTTTTTTTTGGTTTTTTTTTTTTTTTTTTTTTAAATCCCAGTTTTCGCCTCTTTCCCCTCAAATTTCGCTGGGGGGAGGGGAGATTTTTCCCAGTGGGAATTTTGGGGAAAATGGGATTAAACGTGTCCAGGTGGGTTTGGGGACAAGGGGAGGGGGGGGGGGGACACACACACACACACACCTGGCGACCCCTCCCCCATCGTGCCAGCGTTTTGTCACCCCCCTTAAAAAAAAAAAACACCCAAATTTGTCCCCATTTCCTCCCCTGAGGGTGAAGAGGAAATGAAAAGCGGGG